GTTGATGACCAAGTATTGGGTGCCACAGAGGCTGACGGGCCCCAAACAACAGGGCCTGGAGGGGAAGTTGAAGCTGCAAAGGATGACGGCTGCTTCCAACTTGGAACACCTGGGCTTGTGGTAAAAACAACTGGCTGACTGAATCCTGAAGGCTGACCACTCATCATGGCTCCCGGGACCACTGACGCGGACTGATTGAAGACTAAAGATGATGGGTTCCATGGTCCTGCCTGAGGGGGGCTAACTGGTATACCACCTGAAGAAAGCAAGAGAAAGGACTTACTAGGACACAAGCTTGAAGACAATTCTTGAGTTTCAGAAAGCACAACTCTCTGGGGGGCATTTACAGGGCATCTACATGGTAAACACCTTCCTTAAGCCTTAAAGCTGACATGGAAATAAAGGCCCCAAGAGATTAGATTACTCTAAAGATTAAGTAGCTAATGCAAGATAGCTGGCATTCAAATGTTGGTTGCATTTTGAAGCCCTTTATTTCTACCACAGCTTTTTAAACTTTTCTCATTATAAGAAGAATACAATCCATAAGGACCTAGTCATGAAAAAATGAGTGCTTATCATACTGATACATTTCAAACAGCTAGGACACAGCCTGTCAATAGCATGAATGTATTTGTTGAGTGAATACATTTATATAAACAAACCATGCTGATTATGAACTAGTTAATTAAGATAATCCATTGGGTACTCTGAGTCATTGACTTGATCTTTTCATTTGGCAGTTGGCTCACGTCTGGAGTCTTATGGAAACCAGCTATCATGCATGTATATTAGGCCTCAACATGCTTGCATCCTGAAGAAACCATTTCAGTTTCCTTGCTTTTAAATGCTGCCAAGGTTGACACAGCCATATAAAAGGATGATAAAATCTGGTTGATGCCAAGATAGTTTAAGACTTTTATATATATAAATGTGGAGGAAAGGCTGGTTATCCTGGGAGAGCTGTTTCAAATAAAAGTGCTTCCTGCCATGTGTCACTCACTAAACCTTGCCAGAAGTCAGAACAGAATACTTCAAAGAATGAGGGAGGGAGAGAAGACAACATGAAGCAAAACAAAACAAAACAAAAACAAACAAAAATATCCCCCCCCCAAGACAAAAAACTATACCTTCTGAGGTAACTAATTGCCTGTGTCTAGGCATCTAATCTTTGTGGGGGGGGGAATGACTCCTTCTCTAGTGTCTTTGCCATGTGGATTGGGGCAGTGGTGGAAACATAGCCTGGGTGAAGCGCCAGTGGGACTAGCTCCGACTTCCAGTAGGTCAGATCTGGGTCCTGAGTTACCGCATCAGCGCTCTGGGCAGTGGCTCCAGTAGCCGCAGTAGCCTGCCTTCCCGATTCTTTCTCTCTCTCTGCCCCTCCCCGTTCATGCTCTGTCTCTCTCTGTCCCAAAAAATAAATAAGCGTTAAAAAAGACTTGGTGAAAATTATTAAAATACAGGTCTCTCCAATATCTTCTCCCTCTACTTGAGAAACAAACTGCCACCATAAACAAAAAATCTAAATTCAGCTTCATACCTGTACACGAATGGTTCACTGCTCTCAAAATCTACTTGCTTTGAGCTTTGGAGTAGAGTATTCTTTAGTTATGAAAGTTTTCTGACTAAACTAAGAAAGGGCTTCCAAACTCCTAACTTGGGTTAGGAATGTTTTTGTTTCCAGAGTGAGAAATATTTTAAAAATGATGTTCAGGGGCTGATGTAGCAAGCAAGATATTCTATCTTGAATTTTCTTAGTATTGGAGATTCATGTTATTTGACTCAACTGTATCATCATGTGTGCTAGTCATCTGGCCATGACGTTGTGTGATGTGCTCATGGACAGCGGTAGGTTTCAGAAAAGGCCATCTAACTAAATTAACATGCTTATTTTTTGAGGTTAGGGAACTGGGTACAAGAATATTCATTATTAAAATTGGGAAGCTCACAGTCTGTAACAATATCCTGGTAACCCAGGAATACCAGCTCCAAATCCATCACCCTATTTTCCTGTTCTGCCTCCTTGGCATCGAGGGACAGGACTACTTTTTTTAGTGGAAATTAATTCAAATACTCATTTTGTGGCTACAGAAATCAGACTTCATGTACACTAAAGAACATATGTATTTTTTTTCACAACTAATCAAGGGAAAAGTCCTTTTACATTCCATAATATGGGGTTCTAAAAGTGGGTTGGGTTTGAGTGAAGTTATTGCTAGCATTTTAAGGCAAATTTATTTAAGTTTTATTAACCAAAGCCAGAGTCGCTCATTAATAATTTACGTCAACTGAATGTGCAAAGTGGGTAGAATTTTATCATCTTGCATGTCTGGATGACTTTTGCCTTTAGTAAAATGTATGGCTTTAGTCATAGATGCTATTAGTGGGAGTGGTGGTGGTTAAAGAGACAAATATTGTATTTGCCAGGAATTAAAGGCTTTCCCAGTATATGCAAATGTCAGCCTTCATTCCCATCTAGGAGATCCCATGCACTGTGTTTCCAAGATACTCAAGGCTCTGCTGGAGAAAGTAGAGGCAAGAGGTAAGGAAAAAGAGAGTGTGAGTATAAGAAGTTAATTTTATTACCTTCTGGTGCTAGATTAAAACACAGGGTAGCTAACCAAATCTGAAGGCTCAGCTTTCTACATTACCCTCTCCCCACCCCCAGTTCTCCAGAAGAGACAGTCCCCCAGCTGGGTCTAGCGGAAGCCAGACCTACAACCTTCCATGGTTTGGCTGAGGATCCCTGCTAGTGGACAGGGGCTATACTGTAGAGCTCAGTTTGAGTCCCATGTCCAAACTTGGAAGAATCATCAGTATTCTGCAGTTGTATACCCCAAGGCCTCAACAGGGGCACCTAGCCAAAAAGCTTCACTTCGTCTGAATAAATTAACAGTTATAGGGTCCAGCTGTATTTTCGAGCTGACTTGTTAAATATTGGCTGTAAAAATTCTTCAGGGCACTGATATTAGACTGCAAAGCTCTGTGATGTGATCTAGTCGCAGGCAGTGCGCGCAAGCTCTCAACCTTTCTACAAGGAAAAGCACCTTCCAGCTCCACTTGGGGGACAGGGAAAGGAGCGACGCAAAAAAGGGGAAGCCCCCAAGACACATGAAGTTTTTAGAGAGAGTCTTGATGGTGTAAATGCAATCAGAGACCTGAAATAAGTTGGTTTCTCACACTCACATTGATTTCAGCCACTCAGCAGTTGGGTAACACCCCACTCTTGTCACCATACTCCAGATATGATTAAACAGATTTAATATGACAAAATGGAAATATTTTCCTTTGCAGGAAAGCAGCAGGGGAAACAAGCAAACAAACAAATAAACAAAGGGTCCTGATAACTGACTCTGTAGGAGGCAGAGAAAACCAAGAGCCCTGGTCAAATATTACAAAATGGGGAAGAGAGTCCCTCTCCATCCATAGTTCCCCAAACCCCTCCCAAGACAGAGAGTCTGTTTGGAGCTTATGGAGGTGCCAAGAAGCAGAAAATCAAAGAGAATTCCCAGCAGGACAGCAAGGACTATTGTCAGGGTTTCTGAAGACTGTACCACGGAGGCAGAAAAGAACTGGAGGCTGTGGGCAAAGAACAGCAGCGCCAGTCCTCAGCCAAGTGGCCTTCCCCAGTGTCTTGCTTCCGAGTGGCTCAGTGGCTCACGTGAGCTGAAGACACATTTATGAATGAGCCCCAGCACATCCTGGGTATCTGATAACATCCCATCTCTTCCCTTATCCCTGTGTTCTCCTCAACTTCAGGTTTCTGGCACTTGTTTTCCAACTCTACTAAGACACTCAGTGGGCCAAAATATGGACAAGGAACAGCTGAGGCTGAAGTATTCAGAGACTGCTCAGAATATATGCCTGTCTCATACACACTGTATGTCCAGAACAGAGCTGGGCTGAGAACTTAAGACTTTCATTCTATGACTTACACTTGCATTGGACTTAACTTCTATCCCTCTCAGGGGAAGGACAGGATACGATATCCTATCCAAGAAGCATATCAACTTAATAGGAGATAGGGCTTTGATCTAGTAAACTGATCACCAGTTTTTCCAATGCAGATCACAGATAAGACTCTCCCAACTCCACCCCGTTTCTCCAGTGAAGCTGGTCTGAGCTCCAGAATCCCTTACAGTTGTCTTCTGTAATCCATTGCCACTTGGCTCAGGTAAGTGCAATATTGATCATGGATTTCTTCTCACATGCCAACTCCAGGAGCCAAACTTCAGTTACAAGTCAAGAGTACCAAATGAGGGCGGGGTGTACAAAAGTAAAAGTGGGAGAAAGTCTCCCCAGGATGCTCAGCTCTTATGTCCCTGGCACCTCAATGGATCTGAAGTACCTTCCTCCTTTGCCTTATAATCTTATGAGTGACAGCAACAGCAAATCTAACTCGATCTTTGGCACCTACCTAGACCTGCAAGGGGTCCCACTGGGGTAGAAGCATTTGTTTTGAAGAGATCCAGAGGGTTGGTCTGTAGGGTCGCAGATTGTCCTGCAGGTGATGTCTGGCTGGGAGGTTCGGAGACAGGAGGGGTAAAGATGTCTGATGCAAGCAAGTCTTTTGCTGGAGACTGATAGGGCGAGAGGGAGATACGAGAGTTACTCAGTAACAGTTGAAAGGCAGCTTTATTCCGTCTCTTATTCTGTTACCTCAAATTTGGGAACCACACAAAGAAAAGCTTTTCCTCTTACTGATAAACTACAAAAAGCCAACCCCCCCCCCCCCCCCCCCCGCCCCCCGAAAAAGACAGATCCCTGCAGTGGACAGAATATTGGGTCTTGGTAACTGATGTAAAGAGGACTGCCAAGGTGAAATCTATTTTACTCATTTACACATTTATATCTGTCTGGTCTCCTTGTCAGCTAAAAGCTTAAAGCTGGGAAGGAAAGGACAACTATAAATAAATAAGTAACCTACATTTTTTTGATTATTCCACTGGATTTAAATAAGTCTGCATAAAGATGATACTGCAGTTCAACTATGAGGCCAGCCTGCACATTCTAGTGAGATTTTTAAAAAGATCCTTACAGAAACCACATTTTAAATTGCTTTTGAATGAAGTGATCACAGTAAATATATAAATCTCTCTTAAAACCATGGATTATTCAGTCAGCATTGAATAGAGGAGGCAAACTCCAGAATTTTCCACCACCACCTTGGATATTAATGCAACATGAGGGTTGGGGGGGGTGTTAGTGTGGGGAAGGTACACAAGGAATCACAAGAACCCTTGCCCTCCCCTTCCAGAACATGACGATCAAACTTACCAGAGGTACAGAAGCATAGCAGCATTAAAAATGGAAAAACTTGTGTTTAGTTAATAATAAGTGACAAGACATGCAAACAGCAAGCAGGGCGTGAAAACACTGGTGAGCGAGCTCAGAAAGGGTGGCGACTGGAGGAAGGTATTCCTGGAGAAAGATGTGCCTTATCCCACCGTCTATTTTACAGCCACACAGGAAACTACAATAGCAGCAGGAAAGAGAGATTGCATCACACCACCCTTTGGTACCGAACATGCATTCTGCCAATGGATATGTGGAGAAGACAATTCACCTTAGCAGTCCTTCTGCCTCGTCCTGGTTTGGTACTTTGTGGAGGTGGGATAATGGCTATGGAGTCATGTGGTGAGGACTGGACAGAGCTTTCCAAGTCCTGCTTTACGCCATTCGGTACGGACAGTCCTTTGGGAGGGCTTCCCACAAAAGGGTTCGGGGAGGATTTGACATGGAAGCCGTTCTGTTCTCTTTCAGATACCCCATTTTGAGTTCTCACTGCTGGCTGTGTTTGCGTACTTGAAAAGGGCCACGGGCCTGCCTGAGCTTCCTGTTTGCCAGTCCGGTTAGAGATTTGGTCAAACTGCTGACCAAAGTAATCAACATCCCCATTCAGGGGCCCGTTACTCAGTGGAGGAGACAAACTACTCAAATTCTCTTTCTTCTGATCTGAAGATTTGAGAGAATCGAACGAAGAGGGTGTCGATTGGTCTGGCTGTGCAAAAGGATCGTCACGGAAAGGATCAGGATTAGGGGTGGGAAAGAAGTTGAGATTGGCAGAAAAGGCATTTTCAGGCAAGAAAGCTGCCTGAGGCTTTGGTCGAGGAAGAGAGCAGGAGGTAATGCCATTTGTTAAGAATGGATTTTCTCTTAAAGAATTCTGATTGGTGTCGATTTCAGAGTTTAGATCCACTAACAGGATATCTTTGCTTTCCTATCACATTTGGGAAGGAAAAAAAAAAAGAGAAAAGAAAGTGTTAGTCCATGTCGTGACTTCAAATGAGAAAGCTACCTAAGATGATCAGGACTATCAAAATTCCCATTAAAGTTTTGTCTTGACAGACAGATTGACCATTTTCTCCTCCCATCACCTCCCTGAGTGCATTCTTTACTAGTGGTGAAAAGGTCCTCCCTGGCCTTCCCTGCCCCTTGACTTTTTACTTAGGTCTCAATTTTGCTGACCCTTCATTAAGTGAAATTATATTGTTGTTTGCTCTAGTCATGTGTCTCTTACCCTTACAGACTGGCTGAGTTCATGATCAGCATTGTTCCAATTCCTGCCTTTGCAAGTCTTAAAGGGAACCGATTGCAAGTCACTCTAAGCAATTATCTGAGTACGTTGAGCTTGAAAGTAAGACAAGACCTCTGACACCTAACTCTGCTTCCCCACCTGATGCACGGTCCCATCCCGTCCCATGTGTCTACCCCTAGAGTCATGTAACAGTGTCTCTCTAAATGACCAAATTCATTGCCTAATATTTTATAGTTTCAGTTGTAATAAAATTTAAGGTCAAATACATTTCCCTATAATTGGTCTTTCCTCTAGGGGGCAAAAACAGATTTTCCCATCACATCACACGGTATGGCAGGTATGCCTCTTTAAATATGTAAGGATCCTTTTGAAGGGGCTAGTCAAGCTGGATCTCTCATTCTCATCATCCCAATCTCTGGACACATCCTTTTGTCTGTGTCCTTCTCGAAAGAAGAAAGTGTTACTCAACTACTGATATATAACAACATATCACATTAACCTCTCGCATTTGTGCATTTTTTTTTAATACAGCCTAGAGTTGCCCAGGTTGTGACAGTAATCTCATCTATTTGGTGAATAAATTCAACTAATCTTTAATTTATGTACAATCTAATCTTTACTTCATGTATAGGATGGAGATTTGGGCTTAGAGTTAATTTGAAAAACATACCAAATACCTAACTCTACAAATTATATTCCCTCTCTATCATTTTTCTGGTATATTAGTTACTCGTGTTCCCAATTGTTAGATAAGATATGCTTTTTAACATAAAATCAGCGAGTTTGAAAAATCTGACATGTCTTTATTCAGGTCAGTGACAGAACTAATTAAGGTTCACCCTGGGATAGGACTGTCAAACTGACACACTTTCCTCTGACCAACTTTGATCCATTAACTACTCATCTATGCTAGCTGCGGAAGAATATAAACAATAAACAATGCCTAGATGAGATGGAAGTTAGAGGTCCAGCATCACCCCGATGCTGGATATTTTTGATCACTGGGACAAAAACAACTTAAAGGGAATATGAAATTCTCAAATTAGTAAATAAAAATAGGCCTCCTTGGCTTTAAAAGAACATATTTTTAGAAAGTCTAGGTCCTCAGTCAGGCCTAATTGGTAATCTATTTTTTGGCTTCCTTTACTGTTAGGTATAAAAACACTATTTTTCAAAGCCAGTTTTTCTCCATAACCATAAGAATTTGTCAGAAGAAAGAGCTTGTAATTTAAAAAAAATTTTTTTAATCAAAGAAATGGATTGGAAGATCTCTTAATGTAGGGATCTGTAACAATCAAGAGAGGACAAAACATATTGCAAAAGTTTGTGATTTCAGTATTTATTCATTTATGATGAGCCACCTCTGGGTTAGAACAGTTGGGTGTTCACAGCTGGTAGGGTTCTCCTTTTCAAATACTTCTGAAGAAGTTCTTAGGACACCAAACAGGAGCCACAATGTTAGACTTCTGAATAGTCACCCTATAAGTAAAATGTATAAGGCTCTCCTCAGGTTGGGTTTGTTGTTAACCCAGGATTAAGAGTCTAGTTCATAGGCCACAGTGGAATGATGTAAGACTCCTCATCCACCTCCTAGGTCAGAACCTCATTAGTTCTTTGTTGCATTGTCAACATTGCAACCACTGGGTCATCATCTGAGCACCTGAGAAACAAGCACTGGTAACATGAACGTGAAATGCAATCAATCCCTGCTCTTATGGGGTTTCAGTAAGAGGAGAACTCAGGAAATCAAAAAGGTCTCTGTACAAAGGCAATGTCTTCTATACTGAGTTCCACAGCCTAGCTTTCTCCAAGTAGCTAATCTCTCCCAACCATTCCAGTCTGCCTAATCCTGGACTTCTCTGCCCAAAGCTTTCAGTGGCTTCTTTCTATCCCCTATGTTAAAATAACTTCATTAGCTAGCCTTTCAAAATGACCTACAATAGGACCCAGTTTACTTTTAGCTTAACTACTCTCTATTTTCCTACACACTTCAAAGACCCAATTCAAGTTCAGATTCTTTACAAAACCTTTTTTCATTGATCTATTTCATCATCACCTGTGCCCACCCATGGCATCTTATGTATGCAAGACACTGTGCTTTGTGCCCTGATTCCATCCCTGTACCAAACTTAACCTCCTTCGGGGTGGGTCCTACCTTATGCTCTTCTCATAATAACTGTTTTGAATGGTTATTTTTGAAGTTTGAGAGCATGTCATTTTGTTTTTTCTTCTTTTTCTTTTATGTGGCAGTATGGAAGAATATCGTTCAGTTAATTGCCAATAAAAATATGTTCTAAGGGATGCCACTTAGTTTGCAACATGAGTCTCATTTGCAATGCATAAAACTATCCTGTATAAAATGTTGGGGGTGGAGCAAATGGGTCAGGGAACCACTAATAAAGTCCAGGTAATTTAGATTTCTTCTCTTCATCTCTTCCAGAGAAACTGTTGTAAGATTATGAACATTTTTAAACATTCTGGTTTTATCAAATAGAGATAAATCTATTTTGTGACCTAGGAATATGGAGTCAATATGTAAGACCATGTTGGCAAAATCCAATCGGCACATAATTAGTTCTGTTAGCATTCTCTTTCTTAATCAGATATCATCTGCTTTCATGATATTTATCACTTTAATTTATCGTTAGTTTATCTAAATCTTCCATGTTATTTCTTTAAACCAAAAACTCTTTGAAGGCATTAAGTCTAATATAAATAAAACTCAGGATTAATCATGTTGTTTTTCATTTCTTTTTTCAGAACTTTCTAGAAGTCTACTGAAGCAGATTAAATAGTCATTGCTTCCTTGCCTATCCCACTGGAATTCTACTTCATAGCCTGAGTGCTTAGATCTCTGTCAATGTACTTGTTTGAATGTCTGTTACACTTGGAAAGTAGATCATTCAGATATCAATTTACTTTGGGAAGGGGCTACAATAGAGGAGGGGGCGAAGTTGTGTAGGAATAAAAAGGACCTCAGAGCTATGATGAACATTTCAGGATCATCTAATCTTGTATTTCAAAAAGTTTGTGAAGAATAAAGTCTCCACAGACAAGTGAATTAGAACTCACTGCTGAAAAGAACATTAAACAGGATTCTTCTCTATTGGAGGCTTTGTACGTCTTCATTAAAATGCTGGTTTGCACTGTGAATGTCACAGGGTTGGGGACAGAAGAGAGACCATGCAGCCCCGGCTGCTTTCATCTCAGTGGGCCTGGCCATTTTATGTGAAAGTTCGGGGCTGGCATTCCCGGAGATGTTCTGGCAAGTGAGACTTACCCAGTCCTTGATCTGCTGCTGCTTTAATTCCTATGACCTTTTTGGTCATGTAGACTTGCTTGGTAATTCCCTGATGTAACAGACTCCTAGACAGTCATTCTTCTCATTATTCTAGACTGGTGTTCTTTTTGTCTGGTTACTGCCTTATCATCTTTTACATTCAAGTCCAGAACCTCATTTACTCTGAGGCATTATATGAACCTCTAAACTAGATAAATACCCTCTGATTAACATCAACTAATAGGCTTTGTGATTAGTTTTAATGTTGGGCTCCCCACTTGACAGTAAACTCCATGATCTCATTGGCATTGTACATCTCACTCATTTCTGTGCCCTGTAAATCTCAGGTACTCAAGAAACTGTCAAAACAAAATAATAGTTGTAAGAAGTAATCCAAAATTACATGGGTAGTTTAACTTGAGGACTGTTTTGGAAGATGTGAGGTTTGTGTTTAGGCCTTGAATCTGGACCTCTTTCTTGGGCAAGTGAGTTTTTCCTGCATCACCCTTTCCTTATCTCTAAAGGAAAATAGTGCTCCATTCTCATGTAGTTGTCACGGATAGGGCGATATTAAGAAGATTTGATACACTGTAGCGTCCTGCACAGAATGAACAACGTTTTTAAACAAAAACAGGCCTTGGTTAAACGTAACTGAACATCTTATTTGTTTTAAGTCTTACTTCACACCAAGCTTATGCCGCTAAATCACAATAGAAAGAATAGAAAAATATTGAAGAAGCCAAGTGGCTTTATAATTAATCATCTAGCAAATACTTCCTTCAGGTAGACTTTTGCCAAGAATTACTTTTCAGCTCTTCTTCTGATCCTAAATAATACTAGAAAGGATTGCATTGCCTATCTTATTGCTCAAATCTAATCTCCAAGCAAAATTAATATATCTGAGTTAGTGTTGATATGTTCCCATGGTAACTTAAGATGCAAATTGGTTCTAGGAGCCATTTATACATTATGCAGAAAAATCAGCAGTCATCTTCCAAGTTTCGAGATGCTCGAGATTTCTGGTTAATTGCCAATTTGAGTTACAGATGCCATTTCCATTACATTGCAAATTTAAAAACAGACACTTACTGTTGGACTATTTAGGTCGGGAGGTGTAGACATGTCCCCAAACAAATCCATCTGGTCAACACCCTTGAAAAAGTATTTGGATTAGATTCAGATGTGTCTACTAAAAATAGTACTTTGTATATTGTTGTAATTGTTTCCTAAACTAAGACTTAGGAAAACCATTGTCACAATTTTATTTTTATTTAACTAATACAGATTTGATATTAGGCTAATTAGGTCTGGAAGTGTAGACATGTTCCCAAATAAATCCACCTGATCCACACTCTTAAAAAAGTCTTTGGATTAGATTCAAATGTGTCTACTGAAAAGATTACTTTGTATCTTGACATAAATGTTATACTAATGTTTAGGGAAATAGTTGTCATAATAGGACGTCCATATGTATTCAATGCAGATTTGGCATAAGCAACATCTATAGGAAGTAAACCTATGTTCAGGCAAATAAGAATCATAAAAAATAACATACATACCAATTTTAGTTTGTTAGCTTGGTCATCAAGGGTCAGTAGGGTCTCACTCCCGTTCTGAAAAGATGGCAAATGTTTAAGGGTGACTTTTCTTATAGAATTTAATTTCTTAGTGTATTGGTTTGCTAAACAGTTATGATTTTGGCACTGGTCATTCAACTGCACATCGTCTATGGCTAGAGGAATCATGAACACATGGTCATAAGCTGGTGGGGGAGCATGCTTGGACAGGTAGCAAACAAGGACTTACACACATCACATGTGCAATTCATAAGACATAAAGACGCTGTTTTACCTCTACTGCCTTGTTGGCTTCTTCCATCTAAAAAGAAAGACACAAATTCAGTAATCTTAGTAATTACAGTTAAAGGGAGTTAAATTAGTATATATATATCTATGGTTATACACACACACACACACACACACACACACACACACACACACACGTATGGGTTCACTGGCACAAGCAAGAGAGAGTCTTGCATATTATTTCTGCCCTACATTTCCTGGCCTGCCCTTTTCATATCAATACTAGATTTGAATACAGTTTCTGAACTTAAATTTGGTCGACCTGTATAGTCCTTAGAACCAATGTGAAGCTTGTGGGGACAGATAACAAAAGTCAGGAACAGAAAATCAGGTATCTAACTATAACATCCATCAATTGCTGTACTGGAAAAATAGACAATACATTTCTATACTTTCTATACTTTGAAGAGCCACAAAGAAGTCAACTCTGCAGACATGCCATATATTTATTTACATAATGTTCAAACATGGTCCTGAATATAGTCTTAAGTGTAACAGAGCCAATATTAGGTAATACTTGCCTTTTTCTTTTCTTCTTCCTTTTTCTTTACGTTATAGATAACTTGAAAGAGGTCTTTAAGATCAACAACTAATGGCTCAGCCTAAAGCAAGAAAAAGCATCTTTATGAGTATTTTAATCTTACTATTTTCTTCTCTTTGTCCCCATCAGTTCTGATTAGTACTGTTTCTTCCTTTCTCTTAAAGTTCCTTACTATCCTCCCCCGGTTTAGAGGGAATCACCACTACCTCAATCCCCACTGCCAGATACATACAGGCCGGCAGAGTTAGTAAGTATGTAAACAAAACAAGAAGGATCATGATAGTTTTCCAACTGCTTCAGGATTTTTGGGAATCATTCGCTATTGTTCCAAAATCAACATTCACCTTAGGAGAAAGTCCATTCTAACAATCCTTGTCCATACACAATATGGGTCTCAATGACATTTAAAAATGATTCCTGGGGCACCTGGGTGGCTCAGTCGGTTCAGCAACAGACTCTTGATTTCAGCTCAGGTCATGATCTCACAGTTTGTGGGTTTGAGCCCCACGTTGGGCTCTGCACTGGCAGCACGGAACCTGCTTGGGATTCTCTGTCTCTGTCTCTCTCTATCTCTGCCTCTCTCTGTCTCTCTCTCTTAGAATAAATAAATAAGCATGAAAAATGATTCCTAAGACCAATAAAGATAGTCATCTTCCGAGTCACTGTTTAGTCCTCCTACATCTAACTTCTCTAGCAAGCTCTCTAGTTGAGTGACAGACACTCTATGACGAACTGAGGACCAGTCTCCCTCCAGGTGTATCTCAAGGCTTGGAGCTTACCTGTTGTCCTGTTTTTATGGCAAAAAACTGATGCTGGCCTTCTCCTCCACACACATAACCAAATGCCCGGTTGTCTGTCACATCACGGGCAATGAAAGAAATTTTATTTACTGGGTGTTCATGCTCTATTACCTGAAAAATAAACATAAAAAATGTTTTATTGCTCAAACTAGAATCTATTTATATGGCAGCACGATGAAGCATCAGATATTTGGGCATATATAAAAAAGCCAAAACACTCGAAGAAAGAAATTTTTGCCTCTGGTCGAAGGTTAGAGCTCCATTTATTCTTGTTAGTAAGGGCTCCAAAAGGAACAAAGAGGAGAAAACAGAAGTGGGAAAAATACTTCCTAGAATATTGATACTTGATTGTCTCCATCCCTAAGATATGATGCCACATAGCAAGAAAGGATTGAGGACTGTATTAGGAGACCAAGAATTTCTAAAGCAAAGATGGCACATTTCATTGCTAAACCATCTATGTGGGTTGACTTTCCCAACTCAAAGTCAAACTCAGGTGAACAGCATAACTAAGTTCGTTATGGGATCTTTCGACAATGGCTCTGAGTGGCCAGAAAATCATCTGAAGTATTGTTAGAACAATCATCCCCAGAACATTCTGCAAGTTGCCAAATGCTCGTATCAAGTTTTTCCCACGTCCACCTCACTATCCACGAGTTGCCTGGGGCAGGGGGTTATTGGTTTAGTGGTGCCTTCCCATCTATTCCCTCCACTCCCCTTTTTCTTGATCCTTTCAAGCACACAGCAGGGCTCAACCCTTCAGGGATATCTGTAGGTGGTCATAATATACCTCAGTTTTTGTCTAGATGCCTAAGGCCACCGGAGAGTATACATTGGATATCTTAGAAGGTTTGGGGAACAAGGGAATGCTTGAGGGAAACCTGCCACCATTCTCTGATGGGCTTGGGAAGATAACACTTGAGAGATGAGGGACAAGAGAAACAGCAGTGCACAAGGATGAGCAGGTAAGTGAGCGGCTGCCAGGGTTCCAGGGCTCTGTATTTGACCAGTGGATTTTGCATGATAGATAACAGACATCTCTACGAAGGGATGGTTGATAATTGGAGGTCTCCCAATAGTACCTTAATACAACAGAGTACCTTGATTTACAGAAACGCAAATGAGCTACAAATAACATTTTAAGTAAATACATCTCATGATGTTATGTTGAGCAGAGAAAAAAGTCCCAGAGAACCTGTAGTATGACAGTTTTTTGATACGGTGGCAGAAAAACAAACAAAATAAGTAATACCTTTCATATGCGGTCAAACAACAGCAACCACAAGTAAATGAACAAGTTTATACCTACAGGATGAGAGATTATAACTGCAGGTGCGGAAGAAGGGAAAAGAGAGAAGAAAGAAAAGGTAGATGTGTTATGGATAATATTCTAGCTTCGGGTTAGCCAGTAAGTTTGCAGGTAATCAATACATTAAAATGAGACCCAGGCATAGACCTATGACAGCTTCACAAACCAGGAAGTAGGGTTAATCTAGTTCTGTGTACTTGAGGTCTAAAAAATGCCGAAGTGACATTTATAGCATATCTGTGTTTATGCTATATCTGTGTTTATGGAGGCTCACATCCATTACAGAGAATAAATTTCAAAATAAAGTGTCTTGACTCCTCACTTCCTACCCTATTTTCTGCCTGTTTTCTCTAGAAAAGTAACATGTATTATTATTTTTTTCCCCCACAGAATTTTGAAAAGGGAAACAGAGAACTGAGAGTTAAGTCACATCGTTTGTGAGACTAAGGTGGTCTGAAAGGTGTCAGTGAAAGCGGATTCTTACCCCAGTTTTCTCATCGATTATTTTTATCCCAGAAAGGGAAATGTTGACCCAGATCCTTTGTTTGTGCTGTCCCTGAGACCGACCAGCTGCCGCCATTCCCTGATGAGAGTGGGAAAACAAGAAAAATCTAGTTAAAACTACCCTATGATGCTTTGGATACTAAATCATTTAAAAGATAGTTTTATTTTCAGCCTGGTTTGCCATCTATGAAAGGATTAGGCACCTTTCAGAATAGATGCAGAATGAAATAGAAGACACTGAGCCAGGACATCGTGAGTTAGCTGCGTGAACTGGGATAAGTCCTTCTAATTCTCTCGGCTTCAGAATAGTCATGGGTAAACACAAGACTGAATTAGACCTTCAAAGATGATCCTTCTAGGTCTTGTCTTACTTAACAATTATTATTTATTAGGTTCACATAGTGACAGTACTAGAATTTAAAAATTAAAAAAACCAAAAGGCTAATACTGAAGAGCCATAGTTTCCAAATAGAGACCTGAATTTTATTTATTTTTAGAATATTTAAAAATTTTTTAAATCTTTATTTATTTTTGAGAGAGAGAGAGGCAGAGTGTGAGCAGGGGAGGGGCAGCGAGAGAGGGAGACACAGAATCTGAAGCAGGCTCCGGGCTCTGAGCTGTCAGCACAGAGCCCGATGTGGAGCTCAAACTCACAAACTGCGAGATCATGACCTCAGCCGAAGTCTGACGCTTAAGTGACTGAGCCACCCAGGTGCCCCTGGAGACCTGAATTTTATCCGAATACTTCCAGGACCTAAAACTTGATTTGCCCAAAGGAAAAGGCATCTAGAGTCCCGCAATACTTGATTAAGCCAGGTCTTTAGAACAGCAGACAAAATATGTGAACAAAGTCATGTTTCCTCATAAAATGAGGTACCACGGGATCAATTATGTGATTAGAAATGTTTTTCTTTCAAATAATTGACATATAGGTAAACACAAAATTCTGATATAATTCCCTCTGTTGGATATTTGCGTAAGATGGAGACAAAGCATGCTTTCCCCTTTTACCTTTAGTTTCATCATAGAATCTTGGCTCATTTTATCCCCTCTTGCATCGGGCACATCATCAATGCCAATCAGCTTGGCCTTATATTTTACACCATCACCTTTGAATCTGGCCAAAAGGTACTCATCTGTCTTTTCAGAGCCTGAGGAGGGTGGGGGGGGGAAGGATAAAATTTATCTAGGATAAAATTTATAAATGTCTTTAAATATCATCCCCAGGGTATGACCAAATATGTTCCAGAATTTCCAAATCTGAGTAGTACAAATACTGGTCATATTACAGTTGATCAACTATGCAATGTTCTATCTTTATTCTTACTTCCTTTGAGTAAAAGCACATTCTGTGATACTGTATATGGTGTTGGGGTGGAGAAAAAATAAACTCTTAAAGGTACAAAATGGACTGAATTATGGGAAATTTATGGAAATATATGGGGTGGGATTTGGGGATATCCTTCATCATAATTAAAAAAAATATCTTTAAAAGGAAGTAAGGAGGATAATGCCTTTTTTTTAAATAAAGAAAAATAAGCCATTTCTCTACTTGTTAACATTTTGAACTGTCAATAAAGCAGAAGAAAATTGTGAGTAAATTCCTTTGAAAATTATTAAGATTATTATCTCATCTTTATAACTTCTTTTGCTTTTCTTGAAAAGACTGTTCAGTCTCATTCCCATAGCTAACGTATACTAGCAAAAGGCAAACAAACCAGGGCACATTCTCAAACTACGAATGATTAAGGATTCTGGCACTTTCTGGTGGTACTTCAGGTCAAGAGAACAAGGTCTAATACAATAAAGATCTTGGTTTTTGAAAAACAGCTACTTCAGTAAAGCAAAATGCTGAACAGGTTCCTGAAAGATAATCAAAGAATAAATGATAGTTGTGTTTATCAACCAAACAAGCTGCTATGAACGTTCCCCAGCAAGATCCAAGTTGGAGCAATCACCCCATCCAGACACAGGTCTTATTCTAAGTGGAGCAAACTAATCTCTGCCAAAGTCCAACCTTCCTGCTGAGGAGAACCTGACATGAGGCGGAGGTTGAAGTGAGGCAAGGGCCAGCTCTTGGTTCATTTACCCCGAGCCTCACATTTCTTCAGAGGTAGCCAACCCACGCTCCCCTCAGCGGCCTCAAGAGGATTGCTCCATACCTTTCTTTTTTTCCTTCTTCGACGGTGCTTTTGGTGCAGCCTGTTGGTCAGGCTGACCATTAGTTGTGCTCGTTTCTACTTCGTTAGACATGGCAAGAAGGCAGACAGCCAACTCCAGCACCAGCAGAAGGCTAGTGACACCAGGCGATCCCCGCAGTCTCAAACGAACATAACCTGCTACAGATACCTGTAGGCAGAGTTTAGAGGCATAATGAGATCGTAAGACAGCAAATCCAGACTTTGTGCTAAAGGGCTTATAACCAGTGATTTAGGAGTGTATTTCTTCAGACTCATTTTGTTCTTTCTGAATAAACAAACAGACTGAATTCTGAAGAGGAGCGGGTAGGACTGTTTCCTTTGTAGTTTCCAAAATGGAAAGAGGGTGTTTATTAGAT